CGAACCACGGTCGACTACGTGGGAGTCCAGCGACATAGCCATTACGCTAACTGCTGGTCCCAATGAACATTTTCTTTGATGGAGGAAAACGAGATCTGAGGATCTGGGGTGGAAGTGAAATCATATCAGTTACTTTAACACTAAGGTCAAACTAAAGCAGCTCCAAGAGACTTCTCGAGCCAGCCTGTGGCACGGTGGTTAAGGCAGTTGGATCTCACATTGCTGACCATGTAGTTCGAATCCTAGACCTGGCAACATGAAAATTATGCCAGGTGCGTGTGCACACCTGCACCAAATCCTGGGGCGAGATGGAGGAGAAAGGACTGTGGCATGACCATGCCCAATAGCAGGGTGCTTTCCTGTCTCTCTCTCTCTCTGTCTCTCGCCCTCTCTCTCTGGCAAATGCATACAATCTCTAGCAAAAAGTAAAATGAAAACAAAAGCGACACACCGTGGTAGGGTATGGAACTGCAGTGCTGGAAGCCACGTGGCTGACCATGGGTTCGGATTCCTGGGTTGGCCTGAATACAGATGGGATACTTGCCGGGGCCCCAGATCCTGAGAAGCAGGAGGGCTAGGGAAAGTGACAAGTTCTTTTTGAGGGTTCCACCCCTTCTCCCTCACACTCTATCCTTAAGAAAAGATGCACCACACGCGTCAAGATTTGTTTGCCCAGTCCTTTGTTCCTAAACTTGCTCAGAAAGATGGCGGATGGGGCCAGCAGGTGGCGTGGTGGTTTAAAGTGCTGGATTCCCCCCATGGCTAATCGTGGTTCGAATCTCGGACCTGGTGGTTTATTTTCTCACTTTTCCTTTCTCTCTCTCTCTTTCTGTTTTATATGGTCAAATTGATAAATGATAATAACAAATGGAATTAAATAATTAATACTTTAAAAAAAAAAAAAAAGATGGTGGATCAGATTGTTCGCTGAGAGCCAAGCTGACTTGTGACCACCTGCATGATAAAAAACAGCTTTGGCTGCATCTTGCTCTTGACCAGGCCTAAATGTTCTGTTTACATAAAACAAAGTTGGTTTGTTTATTAGATTTTTTTTTTCCATAGGGCATGTGCGGTTGCTGGAGAGAGACAGAGAGAGAGAGAGAGAGAGAGAGAGAGAAAGAGAAGAGACCCAAAAAAAAGGGGATGGCCATGCCAGAATCCCTTCTCCTTTCAGAATTTTGGGCATATGCACACACATGCCCAGCGTGATTTTCAAGCCACCAGGTCTAGGACTCAAACTGCATAGCTGGCCATGGGGGTTCCAGTGCCTTACCCTCCACACCACCTACCAACCCATAAGATTCTTTAATAGTTCGGCCTCAAGTAGCAATGGAGATAGCTTCCTCAGGGTTCTCTGAAGATTAGGAATACTGTGGGGCAATTTTTTGTTTGTTTATTCTCAAAATAAGGCGGGCTTTTAGGAAAGTCTTTAAAATTTTTATTTCAGGCTGGCAGGTGGCATGGTGGTTAGAGGCGCTGGATCCCACATGGCTGACCAAGGTTCGAGTCCCGGATCTGGTGGCTTTGCTTCCTCACTTTTCCTCTTCTCTTTCTGTCTCACTCTGGTCAAATTAAAAATAATAATGATAAAAGAAAAATTTTAAAATTCTTGATTTCATGAGCGAGTGCATGCATGCACATGAGAAAGACAGAGAGAGACCGATAGACAACATCGACAGGTCTCACCCCTAGCCCTCTGGCTCTTTAGGATCTTGGCCATGTTTCAGATTGACTAAGGATTGGAACTTGGGGGTGCTCACATGACTTCCAGTGCTGCACATCAACTTGCTATTGCCTGCCCCAACTGAGGCTGGGCCACTTTTTTTTTATTTTTTAAAGAGATTTTTGCTATAGGGCATGTGCACTCACCAGAGAGACAGAGATAGAAAGCGAGAAATCGCCCCCCCCCCCAGGGGGATGGCCACGCCACCATTCCTTCTCCACTCTCGGGATTTGGGGCGTGCATGCACATGAACCTGGCATGAGTTGTAAGCTGCCAGGTTGGGACTCGAACTGTGGTTGACTCAGTGGGAGTCCAGTGACATAACCATGACTCCATTGGCTGGTTCCTACTTTTGCAATGTTTTGATTTTGGGGGGGGGGGAGTTAAAGCCAGCACGGTCTCTAAATGGACTAAAACGGATGTCTTTGCCGACCACTGGGAGGATGGCGGTTTGTTGAGTTTACAGACAGAAATTAAAACCAAAGACCGTGGGAACAGCACTCCCCGGTGGCAGGGGACTGAAGCCAGGAGCCAGTGCCTTCTCACCGTGCCCCGTTACCTTGTCTTCCCCCGGGTGATTTTGGTGGGGAAATACCACGACCTTGTGGTTTGGGGTTCCGCTTTTCGTTTTCTGCTTCTCTGGGGGTTCTATTCTTGGGTCTTTCTGTCGTCCATATGCTCCGAACCACAAGGAAAGGGTGAGGTGTTCGGTCCCCGCGTCGATCACCCTGCTACTGGCTGGTCCTGGCAGTTTTGAAACACACTACGAGAGGGTTCTCGGCCAGCCGTTGGCAGCTTGGAGGTGGTTTTTCCGTGGAAGTGATCCCTTGTGCAATTTTGAAAGATGTGCACTTTTCTCCATCAGGAAAAAAAATAAATAAATAAAAGCCATTATGCCCTAATGAGTTTGTGCTTGTATTTCCATCAGTGGCTTCCAGGAAAGGGAGGAGGTGATTCCAAGTCTAAGGCTCTTCGTGATGCAGCCGAATACACATCAGGCCTGGGCCCACGGCCACCACCCGGTCCAGAAAAGCTCCACCTAGTGAAAAGCAGGGAGAATGGCGTTCCCCTAGTCCCAGTAGCAAGGCCTGTCCTTGGGGCCAGCAAACGGCATAGTGGGTAAGGTGCTGGACTCCTGCATGGCTGACCACAGTTCAGGCCCCAGTGGGTGCATGTGTGTGTGTGCCCCAGATCCTGAGAGGATAATGGAGGAGAAGGGATTGTGGTATGGTTGTCCACCCCCAGGGGGTGATTTCCCACCTTCCCTGTCTCTGTCTCTCCCTGTCTCTCCAGCTAGCACACATGCCCTATGGCAAAAAAAAATTTTTTTTTTAGAGGGACCAGCAGTTAGCATAATGGCTATGTTGCTGGACTCCCATGTAGTCAACCGTGGTTCGAGTCCCGGACCCGGTGACTTAAACTCACTCCAGGCGCATGTGCATGCGTGCCCAAGATCCCGAGAGGAGAATGGAGGAGAAGGGATTGCGGCGTGGTCATCCCCCCTGGGGGGTGATTTCTCACTTTCTGTCTCTCTCTCTGGCAAGCACACGCGCCCTATAGCATAAAGTTCTTAAAAAATAAAAAAATCTAAAAGACAGACAAAAAGGAGGGACTCTTCTCATCTCCTCTTTGACGTCTTGGTTCAAACCTCACCCTGCCATCGCCCTCTTCCCCACAGCATGTCCCCACGGCCCCTGAACTCGGAGGCTCTGTATATTTTACTCATTGAAGTTAAACACATGCTGGGCTTTGGAAGTCCCCACCAAAACTCATGTGGCAACTTCACCCCAGCACTGCGGTGTGGAGGCCTGGGGCACTTGAGGGGTGATTAGGTCATGTGGGCTCTGCCTTCAGAAATGGATTAATCCGTTCATGGATGAATGGATTAGTGAGTTCTCCGCAAAGTGGGTTAGCTCTCTGAACGGCAGCTTTGTTATAAAAGCAAGCTTTTACAGAGAGGGAGGGAGGAAGCACCTCCCAGTGGGGCGAGGCTGCACCACAATCCCTTGTCCTCTGTTTCTCCATTCTGTCAGGGTCTTGACCACCATTGGGACCAGCAGATGGAGTAATGGCTATGTTGCTGGACTCCTATGTAGGTGACCGCGGTTCGAGTCCCAGACCCAGTGGCTTAAACTCACGCGGGATTGCGGTGTGGCCATCCCCCCTGGGGGGTGACTTCTCGCTTTCTGTCTCTCTGTCTCTCTCTGTCTTTCTGGCGAGCGTACGCACCCTATAGCAAAAAAACAAAAACAAAAACCTCTCCAAAAAAGGAAAAAAAAGAAAAACAATAACTTATTATTTATCATCTGAAAGTTGACTGAGTTCATCTAGGTGGTTCTTCTGTTCCATGTATTGTTAGCTGGAAACTATATGAGGCCACAGTGTCAGAGGGAGTTTATGAGGCTCTGGAATATCTAAGGTGGCTTAACTTCCATGGCTGGTAGTAGTTCCTAGTTGCTCAGTTTGTCTCTTTTCCTCTATGAAGATTCTCACCCATTATTAGGCAAGACAGGCTTTATTACTACATGGGGAATAGGCTCCAAGGGAGTAAATTTCAGAAAACCCAAGTCCCAGTGCACAAGTTCTTCTCCTTACTGCTTGCATTACCTGTGTTATTACTCAAAGCAAGCCAAGTGGCCATTTACTATTAAACTTGAATGAGACTCTACCTGAGAGATGGGTTGATTAAGGTGCCAAAAATATCTGTGACAGTGTTATCCTCACTTCTGTCTAAAGGCAGAATGGGAATTGGAGTGACTTCCATTTTTGTGGCACATCAGAATCCTCTTTTCAGTAACTAAGAATAAACTAAGGCACTGAGTGTTTCTTGTCTTAAGCACCATGCCACATGCTGGCCACACCACTGTGACTTTCTTAAGGAATTTTTAAAAATTATATTCATCATTATTATTATATTTTCAGAGTTTTTTGTTGTTGTTATTGTTATAGGGTGTGTGCACTCACCAGAGAGAAATAGAGAGACAGAAAGCGAGAAATACCCCCCAGGGGGGATGGCCACGCTGCAGTCCCTTCTCCTCCATCCTCCTCTCGGGGTCTTGGGCACGCATGCATACGTGCCTGGTGTGAGTTCTAAGCCATTGGGTCTGGGACTCAAACCATGGTTGACTACGTGGGAGTACAGCAACATAGCCATTACGCTAACTGCTGGT